GTATATACGTATATGTGGAGTTTATTAGTACAACTGTTGCTGTTCCATGGTGGTTGGATTAAACAAATATATATTAAATAAGGGGTTGTTAGGTCTTCTTGCTTCTATGCTCCAAGACTATATTTTGACTTAAAATAAATAGTTCATATATATATATATATATATATATATACACATATATATATAATTATGTGTGACCAGAGTGATTGCTCTTCAGAGCTTTATTATTGATGAGGTCAGTGTGAATCATGTCCTGATTCTCTCCTCTCTTGTCTGTTTTTACTTTCCTAATTATTTGCTTTCCTCCCCTGTCATTGGCCTTTTCTCTCTGCATAAATTATGTGTGTATCTTTGTGTGTGTGTGTGTGTCACTCTATGTGTTTGTGTGTGGGTGTATAACTCGCATGGCCTAATAACTGTCTTGTATCTCGCTGACTTTTTCTACCATCTGCACACAGAATCACTGTATCTCTCTGTCCTCCCCGCTCTCTCTCTCTCTCTCCCTGCTTCTCTCCCTATTCATTTTGTCTCTTTCTGGCTTTCTCTCTACCTGCATCCCAGATTACATGGATACACATTTTCTCTCTCATTCTTCGAGTTGTTTTTCATCTATCTGTGTTTAAAGATTTGATATTTAAAAGAAATGGAAATGTTTGAAAAGCTCAAGGGACATCTCAGCACGGAGCAGTTTGTGTCTGTCGTACACAAAGATTAGGTGAGCTAACACGGCTCTGGAAAAGTCCCAGGAACATTTTCCCGGGTGTATCTTCCATGGAACCTACAGTCTAACGCTTGCCTCCCACCTCTCTCTCTCTGTGACATACAGGACACACACACACACACGATTAAAAATGGGTTTCACTTCTGTCTCAAAAACGTGAAAACACAGTTTTAAATATGACCACGACTGACTGAAAGAAGTAACGGACATCCTTACCTACAACGAATTCAGCGTTAAGTGAATGTCAATGTCCAGAGTTGGTCTTTAGAGACAGAAAGGTAACCAAGACTTTGAAAGCAAATTATTTACTTTTTCTGTTCCACACATTTGAGGGTGTTATTGATGCGTTGTTCATTACCGCACCGATCGCAGAACTAGGAATGGTGAACCAAACACAGACCCTTATGTAACGAGTTGAAGCCCAGAACCTGCCGTCTCCCTTAAATTCTCTGTTTGACTCTCTATATTTTCTTTCCCTCCCTGTGTCCCCTCCTTTGTCTGCTCCTCACCCTGTCCTTCTGTCTCCGCAGTCACTGTATACATCAAATTCTAGACAGTGTGTCTTACACCCACCAACATGACATAGTGCACAGAGACCTCAAGGTGTGTGTGTGTGTGTATGTGTGCACCTCATTGTGTTGCATTGTCCTGCACCCTCTGCACAAACGATGATTCCTACATGCCCGTGTTTTTCATTGCTCGTGCTCTGTTGACAACTGCCTGGTGCCTGCTGTCTTCCTGTCTGTCCCTCGGTCTGTCTGTCCCTCTGTCTGTCTTCCTGCATATCTGCCTGTTTCCAGATTTTGCTTTTGGGACTTTTGTTGCTTTTTAGGTTCTGTACCAGAATAGTAATTCCCAGTGGGTCTGTGCAGACACGAGTGCAGTGAGTGCAGTGAGTGCAGAGAGTGAGTGAGTGATGTCAGCGGTGTTCAATGGATTTATAGCACAGGCTTCTAGACTAAACTTTTTTTTTAGTGGAAGACAGTGTTCTTTCTGCATCAGAATAAATTACCCAGGTAAATGTACAGGTTTAGGAAAAGTGTCTATAACACAGTTGCCAACACACCCTGTGTTGAAAACAGAAACTGTGCAACATCCTATTAAACAGTGAACACTGATGATCACTCTTCACATCATTTTTGTCTTGATGTGTTTTTATTACTTAATACTAGAGCTGTGTTGTGACTTTGGGTTGGGTCAAAGTTCAGGTATGATAAATGAAGTGTGATCAGAGTTAGGCCTGAGATCAGACTGTTGGATATTCTCAGAGTACACGAAAATTATGTTTGTGTGCGTGCGTGAGTGCGTGCGTTTGCGTGTGTGCGTGTGGCAGGTGGCTGCCGCTGCATGGATACTGGGGGTGCTGAATGTGTTCAGACTAACCTGCTCCCCCTGCTGTTTGCATGCAGTCATTGCATCCAGCAGATCCTGGAGGCTGTGCTCCACTGCCATCAGATGGGGGTGGTACACAGGGACCTGAAGGTGAGTCAAATGCAGGTGTCTGTCTGTGCAGCTGTGTGTCTGTCTGTGTGGTCTGTGAGTCTGTTGGTGTGTGGAGGGATTCAACGGTGTGTTTGTCTGCCTCTGGCTTGTGCAGTAGATTCTCTGATGGTAAGTTGGGTGAAATATCATGAAATGCATCATGCCACTGCACGTCTTTGTGTCTTTATGTATACACATGTGCATGTGTTTGCAATTTGAAGAGAATGTCTGTAAATTGTGTTCGGTGTTTAATTAATTTAAGTCAGTTTCTGACTGCAACAATTATTCATTCAATAATTGTTGCAGTCATACATATGAACACATTTTCACTGTAAAGTTAAATTACCTTTCTGATCTTGATAACGTATAATAAAAAATATATAACAGTCATGCGACTGAGGGCTTCCTCATTGGACATTGAATCTGGTTAAAAGACTGTTTATTTTTTATATTATTCAGGTCTATACTCGGTGGTTAGTTACAATGCCATGGAAAGTCCAAAGTATGCAAAAAGTTGTTTTAGGTATGGGGACATTTATTTAAATAGTAACAGTCATTTGCACACCCAGATGTCCCGTCACCCTTTTTGGTAATTTTGAGATTTTGGTACAATGTTAAAGTCACAGTACATCCACTTAGCTAATAGTCTTTCCTGTAAAATGAAATCTGAATTCTATAAATACATAATGATACATAGATGTGCTTCCCAAAATGTGAGCTATTTCTTCCTCCCCCTCTCCCCCCGAGGAATCTAAGTGGGATTGAGTGACATGTAACCTTGTTACAAACTCTGAGTTTTTTTGACAATAGTTGTAAGTGATGCTTTTATAGAAATCCTAGCATTTACTGAACTGCATTATAGTATAATTTTATTTATTTATTTGTCACAATGCATAATTCAGACAATCGCTCTGTCTTTGTTGCAACAAATTGAAAGCCCATTGTAGTTCTATGACCAGCCAGCAGAGGGTGACACGAGAACTCTGCCAGAGTTGTTTTGCCGCCAGAGTTGTTTTGCCCGGACAAATGATTTATTTCCAGCCTCAAAAACTCAAATCTTTAAATGTCTGCCTTAACTTCACGGGACAGTGCGCTTGTCATATGGCAGCTGTTCGTTATCTTAGCCTTACTGTACACCAGCCTCTGTGCAGGACAGACACATGGTGTGATGCACTTTCCCAAGTAAGAATGTACAGAAACTTTTTACGCTCCCATCTGTCCTTCTGAGCCTCTCAATGTATATTAGAATTTAAGTTTAAATGTGTGTCCACGTTATTTTTGCTTTTCTCATACAGATACACAACTGTCTTCGACTGGAGCACCGCCATAAACAGACTTAAGGTCTTGACTAAAGGCTCATTAAAATCGCCTCTCGACTTCAATGCTAATGCTAACACCTAGGTTTTCATTTAACTGGCTCCGAGTATTTTACTTTTAAAAAACGACACGGATTTATTTGTTAATTGTTGTTATTAATTATAATTAATTTCTAGCAGTTGTTAAGGTGCTATATTTTTAAACCAAGACTCGTTTTGACTGTGATATATGTATTTGATGGAAAATGGGATTTTTAGACTTCTCATTGTCCTACGCGGCAAATTCATATTCTCCACTTGTTTACAGGCAAAAACCTCTAGACAATTAAACGTATTTATCTCACTCCATTATTCTGGATAATGAGGAGAGGTGCTCCAAAATGTCTCTTTACTCGTTGGATAAGTCGTAACTCTCTGTGTTTGGTGTCTGTGTCACACATGCAGCCTGAGAACCTGCTGCTCGCCAGCAAGTGCAAGAACGCAGCGGTGAAGCTGGCTGACTTCGGACTAGCAATCGAGGTTCAAGGAGACCAGCAGGCTTGGTTCGGTACGTTGTCTACACTCGACATATATGGAAAGGCAGACATGTTGTTGGTCAGTGTTTCAAAACTGAGGAGTCTTAAAAAATGGTTTTTGTCCTGAATACTTTTATTCAAGATATATTTTTATTTAAGGACCAATGAAAGCACATTAAAACCCCAATGTTTAGGAGTTGGTGATGAGTACAAATTAGAACTTGTCGACACATCTGTTCTCTAAGTTTAACAGATACAGTAACAATACCAGAAAAGATAGTAAACATTCTTTATAGTTTTCACCATTCTGTCACCTTGTGGTATTTCCTTCATCTTTGTCTTTGAACAGTTAAAGACATTCCATATCTACAAATAGTCTTGAAATAAATCCCAAAAGCAGAGAAATAGCTTGAGTTAAGACATTTGATAGGTGTTTAGGACTTCAGGAAGGCAGATGAAACAACTACCTAGGTCTTAGACAAAAAGAATATGAGTCTGTGACTTAAAACCACAAAAGGAAACATTACCAGCCACCGTAGAGACGGTAGAAAAGTAACATCTAGGGTCCGACATGCAAGAAACAACAGATTAACTCAATGTGTGTCTTCTGTGCTGCAGCAGGAACATCCAAAGATGGCCGCCTCCTTAAAGCCAGGTCTTAACATTAGGAACTAATTTGGCCTTCCTGTTATGCTGACGTGTTCGTCTGAACAGCCACACCAGCGGCTGACATTTTTGTCTTATTCAGTTGATAACAGAAGATTAATGGAGACAGGTGTGAGAACAGTCTCTCCTGGAGTTACTTTTGCAAACTCACCTGAATGTAGTCAATGTGTTTTTCTGAATACTTGCTTTGACCAAATGCCAAAAGCTAAATCTATTTTAAAAGAACTGCAGCTGGCTAAAAGCTCTGACTTCTCATTAAACTACATTTCCATAATGTACTGAGCGCAGGTATTTCAAGACTGGGTCTGAAATAGCTGCACATTCACACCCACACAGAATGTTCTCTCCATAATGTAGACTCAGACTTTTGGTGTGAGCTTCTGTGCTGAGCAGTGGGTGACACTCTCACTGCAGTCTCCCCTTTCTTTGGGCACAATACATTGTCGATATTTTTAACAAATTACTTCCCAAGATGCAGGATATGCACAAAATACAGTTCTTTATTGGAGTTAGTAGAGCCAGTGTCACAGACTGTCTGATATACCTGGTACAGATGTGGTGTAGGAAGTGCTGTGCATGGAACGGTGGCTGGTACATCGTCAGATCTCTCCATACTGCAGTAACAGATGCTGTCAGCTTAAATGTCTTTGTCCTTGCTATTTCTCTACATGACTGTTTGAAATCTTACGTCTAACCCGAAACAGCAGCAACACACAAGCAATTCCGTTTCAAACCATCTTGATTATGAGGTTTGGTGCAAGAATGTTAAAAAGTCATTCATCATTGTCCACCAACAGTTGTACTGAATTACGTGTAGGCGATACACGCGCTGGTAGAAAATCCATCTCTAATTTATGTTTTGGTTTTCACATTCAGGATTTGCAGGAACTCCAGGCTACTTGTCCCCAGAGGTGTTGAGGAAGGAGGCATATGGAAAACCTGTGGACATCTGGGCATGTGGTGAGGTCTTTGTCAGTGTCTGTCTCAACACTGCGCCCCCTCCTCACACTTGTCCTGTCACATAGACACTTGTTGTGTTGGTGTGTTGCACAGGTGTGATCCTGTACATCCTCCTGGTTGGATACCCTCCGTTCTGGGATGAGGACCAGCACAAGCTCTACCAGCAGATCAAAGCGGGAGCCTATGATGTGAGGACTCCTCTCTGTCGGTTATGTCACAAAAGAAATGAAATGTTTGCTACATTAACATAGCATTGCCTCTGATGTCTGTGTTTACATGCTCGTCTACATGTCAGTTCCCCTCCCCTGAGTGGGACACAGTGACCCCCGAGGCCAAAAACCTGATCAACCAGATGCTGACCATTAACCCAGGAAAGAGAATCACAGCCCAGGAGGCTCTGAAGCATCCATGGGTCTGTGTAAGTACACACACAAATCTGAAAAACCAAATACGCTCATACTCATACATATGGTACACAGACTCTGGTCTGTGGTTTAAATCCACTCAGAGCAAGTTTCTAATCACGTCTGTCCATTTATTTCTTTCCAAAGGAGTCATCTCTAAAATATATTCTGATAAATGGTTGAGATTATCTCTAAACAGTTCATTTTTGAACTCAAGTGTATGAGTGGAGGTCATTAAGTTCTAAGTCACTTCTGCAAAAGGTATTTCCACCAGGGAATTCCTTCTTTGTAGAATTCTAGGAATTCACACCAGGTCCCGACTTGCTTCTTTGCCTGAAATCCAGTTCATTTACCTTTGATAAAAACAATCCAACAGAGCCACATTTGAGGGTTCAATCAGTTTAAAAAAACCCTGTTCAAATAAATTGTCACGCAGCTCAACACAAAGATATAATGATAAAAGTCATCAAAGCTGTTGAAGACAACTGAGATGCATCTTTACATATTTCAGTTGTTTTGATTCATGGTTCAAGATCCCTTTATTTGTCACGTGTCACATGTACAAGTTCCTCGACAGTGAAATGAAAATGAAAACGACCCAGATTTTGCAAGTAAGAAAAAAACATGAATTAAATTTTAAGTAAAACAAACAAAAAATAAATAAAAATAAGACAACATGTCCATATTTTTCCCAGTTGTGAACTGGGAATTTAAAATGAGTGTTGGTACTGTCCTGTGGAGGGTAAAGAAGCTCTTCTTCAGTCTCTCTGTGTGGGAGGTGCTTACCCAGGCGCAGCCACCCTGACAGTTTACTGCTGGGGTGGTGGATATTCCTGATTATTGTCCTGGCCCTAGTCGATCTCCGCCTGGTGTATAAATCACTGTTAAAAATCTCCACCTTTGTTGGAAATTGTTCAGCTTTATCTAATGTTCTTGGTCCATCGACAACCATCGGATCTTCAGTGGTTCCTCTGAGACAAATCAGTGAATCCTGTGTTGAAGTCGTGACTGAGATCAACTATATACCTGCTAATGATAATTGGTAGCAGCGTTGTTCCGACAGAAGAGAGAATACCTTGTCTGTAATTTGACATTTGTTGTAATCACTGTGAGAACGGAGAGTCAATTTAGAATTAATTCCAATGAATTGCCCTCTCTGTAATTAATTAACCTTGATTTATTGGGTGGATTTAGTGGGCAGTTTGGGGTTTGGGGTTGGTTGGGCCTGTAAGTGTTGCAGAAGACTTTTGATAATGAGAGAGAGGAGGGAGAGAACACTGTGCTGGATGAGGACTGAAGACGGAGGGACTAATAGAAAAGGTGACAAATGTGATGGTAAACATGACAAAGGGGATGCAATATTTTTCTTATTGCACATATTGAATTATTGTATGGAGTTTGCATGTCTTCCTCATGTCCATCAGGATTTTCTCTGTTCACTCTGAATTGCTATTTCTACAGCTATTTAAACAAAGACTGATGTTTTCCAACACAATCTTCATCCATCAAAATCATAAACTCAGCTGTGATGACAGCTTCTGTTCTAATATGGCTGTTATTGCCGGTGCCGTTTTGTGCTGACCTCTGCTCCTTCGGTCTGTCCTCGTCTCCCACAGCAACGATCCACAGTGGCCTCCATGATGCACAGGCAGGAGACGGTGGAGTGTCTGAAGAAGTTCAATGCCAGGAGGAAACTTAAGGTCAGGAAAATCCTAAAAAAAACTCCTCACTGTTTGTAAAAGCAATTACATCATCGCTGTCATCTGCTGCATCAATCTGTTGTACACTTTAACCTGACTTTGTTTTCACATTTCACATTGGTTATATTCACCTGAGTCTACAGATTGTAATAATACATAATTACTAATAATTAATTGGTGTTTTCGGAACACTGATCTTAATGATAAATTATGGCACAATCTAATTCATATTCAATATTGTGTCCGAAAGACTCACAAGGATATGGAGACTTTCTTTTCCCTCAATGTGCAGTTAATGATAAATTAAGTAGAAATGAGTGCCTAGAAAATTCCACTCTCACTGGTGTCCTGTCATCTCCACCAACAGGGGGCCATACTGACCACCATGCTGGTCTCCAGGAACTTCTCTGGTGAGTGCTACTCATAAAAGATGTGAGGGAGAGTCAAAGAAACATGACCACGTCCTTAGAGGCAGATGAAGGGGGAGGACAGCATGACATCCTATCTGTGCTCTGCTGCACACACACACACGCACACACAGAAACACAGTGGAAGATGATAGACGACCGTGTCAGTGAGAGCAGGAAATACTCCAGAGAGGTGTTAGTGGCTTTTTAGCCAAACTATAATAAATAAATCAGTTCTGGCCTTTTTGACTTTAGTGCTTGGCCCTCAGACCACAGATCTCATAAATGTGATCAGCCCTCAACATCTCAACATTTTTATTTGTTTGAAAATGATTTTGTCCTTCTTTGTGTAATGCAAAAATAAGTTTGAGTTTTTTCTCTGGTTCCGTTCATCTGCTGTCTTCCCTGTGTGTGTCTCAGTGGGTCGACAGACCACGGCTCCTGCTGCCGTCAGTTCTGTGCCTGGAACCACTGCAGGCATAGTGGAGCAAGGTGAGTGTGTCTCTGAGATGCAGGTGTTTGTGTTTATGTTTGTATGACTACTTCCTGTTCTTTTCTCACTTCACCCTTTACTCTCACTCCAGGAAACTCTATTTATTTGTCATTCCCCACTTTTAATCGTTTTAAAATGTTCAAGCCCCACCCCATGACAGCGACCCCGTCATTTTATGTTATTTGAACTAATACCAAACAACATTGCGATTTTAAAGGAACCAAAATCAATAACACAAAGTTCAAAACGAGAAAATAAAAGTGAAGTTGTGACATCATCACTTGAACCTTAAACATTTTCTGCCATTTGTCACACCCCACCTGTCAGGGCCAACCCCACACTCTGAGAAGCACTCCATTATTAAACATTTCATAACCACACGTTTAGTTTAAAACCTGTTTCTAATTCCAATATCCTGTTCCTGTTTTTCCTAACGCTTCTGAAATGTTTGCCAAGGTAAGCACCTCTTATCATTTCTATGTAAGGATTTGGAATAATGTTTTCAGTTTTTGGATCTGTTTGAATAAGGCACATATGTGAAAGCTTTGGACCTGATCCAGGATCTGTACAAACACTCTAAACCATGTAACCTCAGGGGAAGTCAAATCAAAAAGGTCAAAGAAAAATGTTATGACTTTAAAAGTATAACTAAATAATAATAACTAAAACACGTGAGGAAACGTCTCTCAATGGTCTTCAAATGATCTGACGAGTTTTATTAATAATAATATCATTGTCAAGTGTCGTGCTCTTAATTTTTATTGCAAAATCATACACAACAGTGTAGTGCTACTTTTCAAATGGCATTATCCTTGATAGTGGTATAAATAAATAAATAACATCAATGGAAAAGTGTGTTTTAGTGTTGATCCTAAAACCATTTCCCTGATTAAATGATAAAAGCATTTTACAAATCATTTGATGGCAATGGTAATGTTTATTTCTTCCTCTAATGTCTGGGTGTTTCCTACCCATCAATGAATGTTATTCTGCTCCTGAGATGAACAAAGCCATTACTACACACCTGAGTCGCCCTTCTACTTTCCTCATGCTTTTTAATTATCGTCTCTTCCTCCTTCACCACATCCTCCTCCTTCTCAGTCTGTGCCTGTGCGTGCATCTGTGTGAGTGTGTTTGGATTATATGCAGAATTAGTTAGATTTTTTTCTCTCTCTTCATGCCCTGGGCTTATATCTAATGCCTTGGCCAGTGGCTCCTGGTTGGGAATTGTCAGTTGCAGTTGTTTGTTTATCTGTGGGGATTGTGATGTCTTTCTACGGGACAGACAAGAGACTTTCATTTCTCTAACAGGAGGGATGGGGTTTTCTTTAAGAGTGATGTGCAGGGAATGTTAGAGAGACCGCACAGTCGCTCCATTTCTATCATCCATGCTCATTTTTGTAACGTGAACCACCTCACCCTCGGGTGGCTGCGATTGTTTTCTGTTTAAAACAGTTGTCATTGTGAAGGAGCATGAGTATGTGTACGCTTCCATCTGAGGGTGTGTCGTTCTGCCTCTCTGCAGCAGCCAAGAGTCTCCTCAACAAGAAGGCTGATGTCAAGGTAAGACAGCTCTTCGTCCCGTCTCTCCATTTACCCCCACAGTCCTCTAACATGTTCATCTACCTCCAGATACTGCTCTTCAGTCAGGACCACCAATGTTATTCCCCTAATATCTCATATGTAAAGGGTCTTGGGGAAATTTGACTTAAAAGCATTCGTTTTAATGCTATTATGTTAATGTTTTTGGCTTCAGAGACAGAGCACAGCTGTAATATCTGTGTCATTCCCTGCTCTTCACTCTTCATTTCATGTTGCAGCTCAAAGATGCATGAAGACCATTTGACCACTTTCTGTGTGTGTTTCTGTGTGTGTGTGTGTGAAAATACAAGCTGTACATCTGTCTAGTAAAAGTATGTCTCCCAGCTTTTTACTCTTTGAGCCCATTGTTAAATACGAGTTAGAAAAGTGTGTTCACTGGTGTAAACCAGTAATTCCATTCCTAAAGTTCATACTCACAGATGTATTGTTCCTGCAGCTACAACTTTAGTTCAGTGAGCGCTCTCTCCATGTCCTCAAACCTAATTAATCGCTAATATTTTTGGCTGTTATTTCAGTTTTTTAGGCCACTGTTTTGACACTCATTTAAACAAATGAAACAACTAAAGAAAACATTGAAATTAATTAGAATGTCTGCACCCTGCCAGTGATAGATATATGTCCCTGTTGGGGGCCTGCCCCACAATTTGGGAACCACCAATCTAATGTATTTGTGTAATACAGAGTATTAGAATGTTTGGCCTAAGACCAATGAAAAGGAGGAGGAGGAGGGTGGTGGTCGACTGTGGTGACCTCTGAAGGGTGCAACTGCAAGATAAGACACAGAAGACTGCTGCGGTCTGGACCATGGGCTATTTTTTTTAAAAACAGTGCGTTGGCAGAAGTGTCTTCTGAGAACAGTCTCAGTGACATCAGCAGTCTGTCGCTGGCAGTGATAGAGACTGTCATTATTAACCTTGAGTTCATATCCAGTGTTTTTGTGTATGTGATTTTGGAGGTTGGATATAATAATTAGCATGTAGCTCAGTGACTGTTTTACCCACAGAATAAGAGAATGTGTTGAAGTAAAACAAAGTAAGCTGTACCAGAGTTAAGGCCACGTTGTTTTTTTTACTCCATAATAATTGGTTAATTATCAATTATATGATAAATATAATCGATTATATAATTTTCTGAAATGTGTTAATTGTTTTTTAAGAGTCTCTTCAGACGTGTTGATAGACTCACATGACTCTCCCACCTCCGACCTCTCCTCCCTCTTCATGCCTATATCTTTGGTGCACAGCTCTGCCCTCTGTCCAATGAATGGCCTGGTGCTAATCTCAGATTATTTCCTACCAGATGATTTATCTGTTATTACATAACTGCAGCTTGTCCCTTGATGCACCCTGATGTCATACCACTTTTTTTTTTTTTTAAGCATTTTTAGCATTAGTGCAGACCCTCACTGTTTTACAGTCACGTGTTAATGCCTTTGCATGTCAATGATGCATCTCCACTTTATTTCTTGAAACTTTTATTAGAGCAGATATGACTCTTTAGAACGCTGCAGGATTCTACAAAAACACATTAGTATTTACATTATGGCCTCTGTGCATACACCAGGAACAACAGAAAACTTTTTGTGATAACTCTAGTAAAGCTGTAGTTTTCTTTGGGAATGACAATACATCAAATAGCTTGTACTAAAATCCACTGTTGTACAAAACATCCCAAAAAATCATTAAAAAACCCTAATGGGACATCCATCACAAGACGCTGCTATTCAAAATACACTTTTGAATGGCAGTGGCAGGCAAGTTTTTATTTAAATAAATAGTGGAAAAAAGTAGAAAAAGTTGTACCATGCAATTATGGAATGTTAAAAAATAATATAGTATATATATTATATATCTATATTATATATGTATAATATATATAAATAAAATAAATAAAAAATGTTGTTCCCTGAACAGTTTTTGGGGCAGTGGTGGCTTAGTGGATAAGGAAGTGGACCTGTGTCTGGAAGGTTTCAGGTTTGAGTCCACCAGCTGCCAAGTTGCCACTGAGGTGCTCTGAGCAAGGCACCGTCCCCACACACTGCTCCCCTGGTCCTTAAATCCCACTGTTCACTTTGGTGATGGGTTAAAGCAGAGGTCACATTTGGTTGTGTGCAGTGGTGAGCTGTGTCACAGT